AGTCAGGGAGGAATCCAGTCTGTAATCGAGCGATATGAGGAGCAACATGCCTCTCCACGAACAGATGGACAAAATCAGAGCAGTAACAGTCGTTACGAACCAATGACGGAGTTGAGTCCTCGAACCATACGTGCATTGCTTGGAGAACTCACGCAAGACGTCGTTGAACAGGTAAATCTTCGAAGTATTCATAATATGGAAAAATTTACACAAAATGGAAATGCACACTATGACAATATGGCCAAACAGCTAAAGACGTTAAACGAAACAATGAATAAGTTAGTAGGCCAAATATGTCAACCAGCTATACCTCTTACAAACCATTTTCAAACCAGGACAATTGTGGGACATAATCCCTCTGTCCTAAATCCGAATCAAGGGGTAGAATCGCTTTCTGGTCCCTCTACTTCAAACCAAGGAGGTACTATAGTGCCAAATCAAAATAATGATAGTGGCATGCCTAACTTGGGGGGTAATTCAAACGTGAGAGATAATGTCCTAAACAATGGACAGAATATTCCACGTGGTAATAAGGGAACAGATGTCCAGGCTAACGGTAATGGACCTAATTATGGTAATTTTGTTGCCAATCAAGGACCAAACATGAGACCTCATGCAAATCAACCGGTTAATCAGCCTGTAGGAATTCCATATGATCCCAATGTCATGTTAAGGAACCAGATTATGGAAATCGTGCAGGATCAGATGGCCTTTGGGGTGCGTCCTGTCATTAGGCCGACATACACAAAGCCATATCCTGATTGGGTAGACCAAGCATATCCATGGCCTAGAGGGTATAAAGTGCCAGAATTCTCACTGTTTACTGGTTTAGGAGTGGTGTCTACTCTAGAACACATAGGGCGATTCACGTTGCAAAGTGGTGATGTAACCGACTAACATAAAATGAGACTTTTCCCTAGTTCGTTAACAGGAGTAGCTTTCTCCTGGTTCATCAACTTGCTAGCGAACTCTGTTCAAACATGGCAACAATTGGAACAGTTGTTTCATGCTCAATTTTATAAAACTGAATCTGAAGTCACTTTGGCTGATTTGGCGAATCTACGTCAAATGGCAAATGAATGGGCAGAAAGTTTTCTCCAAAGGTTCAAAACAGTAAGAAGCAAGTGTTTTGTACCTCTGCCCGAAAAAGAATTTGTCAAGATCGCACAAGGCTGCTTGAGCTTTGATTTAAAAAAGAAGTTCCAGGACAAGGAATTTCCCGACCTTTTCCAGTTGAGTGCGAATGTGATTAGGTATGAGCGACTGATAAGAGAAGAAGAACAAATGAAAAATTCTAGTAAAGGGACTTATTACAGAGACCCAAATTTTGACGTTCATACCATCGACGACGAATCATACGATCAGGCCGAAATATGTTTGGCCGAATTGGTAAAAGGGGATATATATACTTGTCCCATAATGGCCAAGCCTAGACCATCGGGCAAAGATGAGCTCATAAAGGATGGAAACATAAAGGCTAGAACGTTCTCGTTCGATGTGACCAAAGCTGACCTTATATTCTATAAATTATATAGGGATAAGCAAATAAAGCTGAGCGATAAGCACAAATTGTCAAACCCTGAACAAATAAAGGGTAAAAAATATTGTAAGTGGCATAATGCATGGTCACATTTGACTAACAATTGCTTGGTTTTCCGTCACGTATTGCAGGATGCTATTAAATCAGGACGAATTACGTTCGACGATAAGAAAAAGATGGCAGTGGACGAGAATCCTTTCCCACAGCCATTTGGGGTAAATATGGTAACGTCTGGGTTCAAGAACAAGTTGCCAAAATTCAAGTTGGTCATAAACGATGAAGAAGAAGACACTAAAACACATCCCAGTGTCTTCGAACGAATCAAAGGGAAAGAACCAAAAAAGGACGAAAACGTCCTGTGTGCAAGGTGTAAAAGGGAAGTAAATGGAGACACGGAGAAACCAGGGACATGGCAACATCCTCATCGCCCTGCCTTCTTCCCAAACATTCAGCCTGGCAGAGGGCGAGGTACATCATTTTATAGAGGACCACCTTTTGAAAGGCAGTTCAGACCAGCAGATACTGGAAGAACATTTAGGCCGCAACCTCGCCGGCCAAATGTATGGCATTCATTCCAATACAGCGCAGGAAGGGCAATACCCTTCGATGAGATGACTAGGACCCAACAAAGGCGTTTCCAGCGAAACTACGGACGGATGATGAGGCAGCAACAAGGAATGCCACATCCTAAAGCACCTCTATTACTCAAGGTAGCCAATCAGAACGTCCTCAAAAGTAGTAAAGAGACTGGTACAGATGAATCAATGAAGGAACTGCCAGAAACCTCTTCTGGGAGGTCAAGGTTTGAGAGGGATAAAAAGGATGAAGAAGATCCAGATCAGCCCCTTGCTATCCAATTCGGTACGTTGCCTCCTGTCATGGCCAATAATTACCTCCTGGCCAATGAATTCAAGAATAAAGAAAAGGAAGAAGAGAGGGAGGACAACGAAGGAGAAGCCTGCATGCTGGTATGTGAAGAAGGCCAGACTTCTGGAGAGGCCTACAACGATGAAGAGGACGATAGGATGGCAGACATTGAAGAAGAAATCGACCTAGAAGCAGAAAGGAAAAAGAGGGGAGTATCGCGCAA